TATAACTATTAGAAGAAAAATGAAGAATCCAAATAATAAGGTTACCGTTAATATGTTCGGATATATTAATCTATGATATTTATAGATAATATCAAATTATTATTGCACGAATTAAGTTACTTTAGTGGTTAAAGGAACAATTGTTATCTGTAGAGGTCCCAAGTTTAAGCACAAAAAACTACAAGATTATATTTGAGTTTTCATTGTCAAATGATTCCAAAAATGTGCTCATTTTTAATTTAAATTTGCCCGGGACATGCTTAAACATGTCCTGCGATCCACTTGTTGCTGTCATATGATCCATACATGAATGTCGCTGTGCCGTATCCTCGTTGAACACTAACAGTCGTTGCCTGATATCATCTATTGGGTTTGTTAATCACTTGGTCGCTGCCAAATTCAAGAACAAAGCCGAAGTTAGGGGTCAAATTGGAGTTCAATTCAAAGTCAGGGGCCAAATTGCATATTGAAATCAAAGTCAGGAGCAAAGTATACATTAACCCTAAAAGTAATGTAACACGAACTTATTTAACTAAAATAAATAATTAAATACAATCACAAGTGAGAGTTTTAGGGGTTTTCTCAGTATATTAGCCCTAGAAATCCTTTTGACATTGTCGTATAACAATACCCTGTTCTAAAAAATATCCTTAATTTAGTAGTTCCTTTGGGATTTGTTTGATATACAGAGTTAAGCATGTCCGGACTGAACTTCTGTTTTGGTGCATTGGGGTTGTGAATTGATCGTATGCAATAGCAAGTTGTTGTGGGTGTTGCTAAAAGCAAGGCAAATTCAAGTGGGACAAATTGCATCAGAGTTTATCAGTGCCCCTGACCTTGTCCCCTTCTTGATGTTTCCATGAGTTTAAAACATATGATTCACCACAAAAACGAAACGGCATCCGTACAGTATTGTGAAAAACGCAATTGATGTATCTGCATTTAATATTGGATGGGTTGGACAAGGGAGTGTTGTTAATTTCGTACTAAGAGGAAACCTTGGCTTGGCTTCAGCATAGCTCCAAGGGTCAAACTCAAACCTCATAGCCAAAGCCAAAAAAGAACCAACAAAACCTGCTTTTAACCAGTTTGTCTTGAATATTAATTAGCTCACCTTCTGCAGATGTACTGTAAAAATTATCTTCTTATCACCGCTTCCCGATTTCATGGTAGCCAGCTTATTTATTACATTTTGCTGTCAGGCTTCCAACTTACAAGGAGCATCTCCAAGCTTCTTCTTCTCTTTAATTCTACGTACTTGGTCCTACAACATTTTGCATGGAAACGAATAAGAAAGACGTCACTGAATCACCCCCATTAGAGCTTGAAGAGTCGGATTAGATTTCGATTGGTCGCAAAGGTCACCAACGATGTTTAGAGCAAACCCAAATCCAGGAGGGCTGAGTGAGCGGCACGTGGTTGAATGTAGGGGTGGGTCGAATCACATTTCCTTGATTAAAAGGGAATTAATGCAAGAACGCGCATGCACGTCGACGGATCGAGCTCAAGCAACTGTCCACTTCAAGATCCATGCATGCATTTACGGATGCATGTCAGGTAGTGTAATTATCATCACATCTCATCGTCATTGGTCTGAAATTTTTGTCAGAATTCTCTTTTCATTTTTGGATGACAAATATCTTTTCCATTACTTTCTGGGGCAGCTGCTTCACAATGGGGTTTGAGGGAGAGAAAAAAAAACAAAATTTATCTATTCCTGACTGCTCTGGTAGACTGGGATTAATGAAACCATATATTAAAATCTTACAAATCAATGAACAAACGTCTAATATTTAATGCATCCTATTTATCCATTAGCACTAATATAGTGCTACAGTTATTTTGCGCCACCATACGAAGTAAAAATAAAAATAATTATCAGTGATAAATATTTGTTTATCACTAATGTAACTAAACCAAAAAACTGAAGCCGACTCCTAACAGATAGAAAACATAACCAGTAAAGGTGGATGGGTTATAATCATATGGTTGGATTGCCACAAATTTTGTTGAATTTCAAAAGTATCTCTCCTTATAATTAATGTTATTATAATTATATTTTTATCTTTATATATTTTTATATCATCTCTAAAAAAATAACTATAAATTATATTTATAAAAGTTAAAATCATATTTAATAAGATTTATATACAAATGATTTATCACTTCACTTATAATCTTTATTGAGTGAATTTAATAAAATATAATAAGTTTATATTAAATATTTTATTTTATTTTATTTATATAGTAAGTGTAATAAAATATTTTATTACCGTGACCAGAAATTCCTTACAAAAAAGTTAAATGGGAATTTGATTTATTTGGTTTGGAATCCCACTGGCCTTGTTCTATTGTTCAGTGAGGACATGTGCCTGTCATCTTCCTATTTTTCTTACGAAATTTTTGGCCTATATTAGTTCTCCGGCAAATTATGGAAATTTTACGTAAAAATAAAATTCCAAAAACGGAAATATATAGTTATAATGGAAATAATTAAGTTTTCATGTGGAGCGTTGTTCTCTTTAAGTCATATTCTTTCCCATCCAAATATACATCACACTCTGAACAGAATTTTATGCCGAATTATTTGCCATCGATTATGCAAATAGATTTTTTGAGGGTGTGATGTATATTTGGATAGGGGAAGAATATCGACTTAAAACGCAAACAAAAATGAAAATGCATTGACAAATTATTTGCCATCCAAATATATACCAAAATGCAATGACAAATTATATTAATTTGGGCCTAACATATCGTCGGTGTGCACTTGTAAATAGGGGTAAGTAAAATTTGTACCGACTCAAAAAAATTATTATTTTTGGTTCTATTTAATTTGATAAAACTCGACTCATAATTTTATAAATTCGAATTGACTCGATAAAATTTTAAATTCTAGTCGAGTTATAAAATATAACTCAAATAACTCACATCTATTAGTAATATGTGGATTGATTTTTAAGTTTGAGTCGAGTCTTTCAACATTGTACGATATACGTATCACATATGAAAAAAATATAAAGAACTATATATGTATTGTATATGGTTATAGAAAACCATTTAAATTAGAATCATATAGGATTGTAATATTATAAATATTTACAATTAAATTTAACATAGGAACTTAAATAATTCAACTCGACTCTAAATTTTTTAAAATAAAGTTTTAGTTATAAAATAAGATTCATAAACTCGAATAACTGAAATATTTTTAAATCAATTCGTCTATATTGAACGCTCACCTCAACTTATAAATTGATATTTGTATAATAGTTAATAAAGAACCGTAAAATTAAAGGGGGCGTTTGGTTCTCGAAAAAATCATTATCAATGAGAATATTCTTTTTCGGAATTATATTATCATGTTTGGCTCACGAAAAAAAATTATTCCATGTAATAATTGATTACCAATAGTAGCATTTTTTTGTTAAAATGGTGGAATATCTTAGGTATTACACAATTCTTATAAATTTAGACAAAAATACCCCTAGAATAATGAATTCTTTTCATATGGATCATTTTTAATTCTTATTTTTTCGTGTTTTATTTAAAATTATAAACATAATAATAATATAAAGAGTTTGATTTAATAAAATATTAACAAATTTGAGTATTTTTTATATTTTTAATATTTAATATATTAATTGTTTATAATCTATGAGGTGAAAATGTAACTATTTAAAATAATATCTAATTTTGAGTTATTAAAAAATAGATTTTATTCATTGAAAAATAATATTTTTGTCCACTCAAGATCACAATATTATTTTTTCATATTATATCATTATTTAAAAATATAAGTTTAGTATACTAATTATATTTTTTTCTCAAAAGTTAGATAGTGAAACGATTAAAATATTTTTATAAAATTTATTTAAATATTTATTTTAATATAAAAGTTTAACTTATGAAAAAGAACATATGTCATAAAGATAATTTGGTAAAATATAAATCCAAATAATCTTATATATCTCTAACCAAACATTATATTTTTACTAAATAAATAAAAATAAGGTAATACAATATTCTCAAAATAATATATCTCATAATATCATTTTTAAAAATAATCTTATATTTCATGAACTAAACACCAGAAAAGGTTTTAACTACATTTTCATCCTGCGTTAGTATCGATGGGTTTGTTTTATCGGATAGTGTTGTTTCCCTTTTCATTTTCTTGTACAAATTCTATTCAAGTTCAAGTCTTCCATATACGCAGACAGGGAGGGGGGGGGGGAAATAAAGGAAAAAAGGGTCAATTAGAACCGCCAAACCCAAAGTTACATGCTTCAAACTGAGACATGAGCAACGTTATTCAAAGAATAATTGTAGATTAAGAAGAAGAAACTTCCAACGAACCATAAACCCCAAAATAATACGACTTATTAATTAATTAAAAAGAATTTGGGACCAGAATGGTTTATTTATTCATATTTTTCTTATTAAAAAAAGTAACATATTATTTATAAAATGGTATTCGAATCTATCACATAAACAAAAAGTAGATTACAAAATAACATTCAATCAATAAAACCACAATACAATAATAATAATAATAATAAGAAAAACGTGATTAATTAAAAATATTTATAATAAAAATATTTTTCAATGTCATTGAATTTGAACATAAAATCTATTAGTTATTAACTCAGACCTTAATCAATTGAATAACATGATAATAAAAAATATATTTATAACAAAATATTTATTAAAAACACGCCTAACATGATGTACTCTACTTATATGATAGATTTAGACGTTTACAAATAATCCTAAATTAGTATTACTTAAAAATACTGGAATAAATAAGTTGATAATAAATAGAAAAACTCTGTTCTGTTTTGTATGTAAATATTTATTATCTACAATAATGCGATTACTCCACAGATAAAAAAATGAAACTCAAGCAGAGAAAGGAAACAGAGTCCAGCCAGCTCAAATTCTATAGCTACAATGCTAAAAGCTACAGGCTAGTTCTTTGAAACCCATTAGATATTAGATAGGGTAAAAAAAAAACTCTATTATCCAACCAAAAAGTTAATTTCTCCATGAGAATCAGGGTGTCTTTTGTAAAAATCTCCCTGCGCAGTAAAGCTTTTGCTTCTTTCTTTTAATCTTAATTTACGTCTAACTAAGCTTGATTTGCCAAGTCCTTGGCGTCTATAAACGTGCCATGAAACCCGTATGGAACCCTGGATGGTAATTTAACTGAAGCTTCCAGCTGTAAATTCATGGCGTTCACGATTTGGAGCTCCGATTTCCATTTCTTCTCGTCGTGAACAAAGGAAAGAATATAACCATCATCTTCAGCTGATTCACAACTGTCGTCTCGAGGCAAGAAAAACGGTTCCCCACCATATCTTCCATCGCCGTATATGTGTTTTATTACCTCTCCAGTAAAAAGATCAACCTTGGCGAATCCCGACACTTTTGGCCATGGTTCAGCGATGGCAAGGTAAGCGTACCGTGTCTTTCTTCCAAGCCGGTTCCTGTTCACCATCCCAGCTTCCAAGTTCACTTGCTCTGATTCCGTGATTAATGGGCGGCGCGTGGACTTACCTGTCTTCAAGTTAAGCCTAATTTCGGACAGAACACTTTTCAAACTCTCCTCACATTCGTTGAAAATGGAGTCGGGAGGTGTCATGCAAGAACCAATCACCACGACTTCATCGGATTCCGGCTCTTCCCAAGCGTTCCATAGATGGAAACAGAAAGTGTCAGGGGATTCAACCCATACAATATCCTTGGAATCGCTTGCATTTTTAGGAAGAATCCCGAAGGAAGACTTCTTGTTCTTGTCGTAAATCACTGGCGACCCACCGGTAATCATCTCTTGTAGCTTGAACACCACTTGCTGATCAGGGATCACCACGAAATTCTCAGTGATGGCGAAATCATGCATCATGGTCGGCACTGATAAAGGGATCTCCACATCTGGTGATTTATTGCCATCAGGGTGAAACCTGAAGTACTTCAAGTAAGGCTTTTGGACAACATCGTAACTCAAAGCAAAGAGCTCCTTGGACAAAGGATCGATTTTGGGGTGCGCAATCATTGTAGATTTGAGTTGATCATCAAAATCGTATCTTCCAACTGTTTCCAAATCACCGGAGGAAGTGATTTGCACGTGGTAAGGAAGATCGTCCTCGGACATGGCTAGAAGTCGATTGTTGAAATAGACTAAGCCAGCATTAGCTACTCCAGTGCCATGTTTATGATCGACGATGCCGAAAAGACCTCTCGCGTAGAAAAGTAAGAGCCTGGCAACCCCTGAGTGGCCATGTAATTCACCAATTGCTTTAGGGAACACAGGGCGACCCAATTCTTTCTCTTGTAAATATCTTTGTGTCTCGGTGAAACGACAGGCATAGCTGGCGTTTCCATTATCAATGGTGACGGCGTGTACCATGCCGTCACCGTCGAAAAAGTGGTGGCCGGCAACGGGCTCGAATAAAGGGTTTGCTCCATTGCGGAGATAAACGCCGTTGATGCAAGAAGGGATGGTGCCAGTGATAGGAAGGGATTGCTTGACGGGTTGTTGAGGGACGGGAGCGAAGTTCCCGGAGATTTGCACATGTGGGTCAGCTGTTTTAGGGAGTGGGTGTTGATGCTCGAGTGAGACCAAGAGGGTTTCAACCATGTCAAGGGCCATGGCCGCTGCTTTTTGGAGGAGATTCCACTGTTGGTGGCGGTGGGTTTTAGGTTTTGCTTCTACATTTACAGAATTGTCGTCTACGGGGATTATGGGGTTTTGGTATGTTTGTTTGGGGAAGTGGAGAACTGAAGGAGGGTGCAAAGCGGAGTGAACGACGTTGGTTCTGTTGGGCTGCCGTCTCTTCAAGGAGATGGATGTTGAAGAGCAGTCGAAATGCACCGTTGAGGAGTGGAAAAGAGGTTGAAAAATATGGGCTTTGGCCCAATTACTCGTGGAAGAAGCCATAGCTTTTAAACTGTTTAAGCCAGAACCAAGAAGTGTGTGCTTGTGCTTTCTTCCTTCGGCCTTGGCGAAACAAAGCGTTATTAGCAGAGAGAACCAGAGAAAAGAATGAGAGAGCTTTGGAGAGGGAAAGAAAATAAAATGGGGGGTATAAATAGAGTTGGGGGATCCGGGAGGTGGGTGGCGACATGCTAGTGATGTCCACGTGTTGAACTTCTGCAATGGCCACTAGCTGATAAAAGAAAATATTGTGTGAGATTATTACTCTAAATTACCATATATTATTTTCATTAAAATGGTTATTTATTTTCTTTAGTTTTGTTATTAGAAGTGATGCGATAAATTTGGTTAAGAAAGGGTTGGGTATGAAGAGACAGACTGTCCCCAAATCAGGGACCAAAGGAGATGAGAGTCCGAAACACGCTCATTCCCACAGAAAGGAAGAGAGCGAAATCAAATCAGTTTTTCAAAAATAATTTGAATGTTTCTTACTTCTACTAAACAGTACTAATCCTATCATTTCATTTTCATAGAACCTATATTTATAAATTCATAAAAAAAATATGAATTTACGTGTTGATGCATGAGGTTAATGAAAATGAATGCCATTGCCCTCGTCAAATCAACATCCTACCATGTTCTCCTCTCTATGTCTCCGAATACCACCTTCATTCACATCCCTCGATATTGAATTATTGTAGCCATTATTGTATTCTGGTATCTGTTTCGTCTCTCTTACTCCATGTATGTAATATCTGGACAGTAACACTTCCCTCTTCTCCAAGGTTTACCAAATGTTTTCTGGTCTAACTTTTCCAGCCGTCGTATGGCCTATATCCACTTATAATAATGGTCACACTCGTGCTTCCCTTCGAGAATTTGGTTACCTTCTTTACTTTTATTATTTGGTTATGTCCAACTCAACGAACATACTGTTTGAATTATTATTTTTGGGCTGTTTTCGTAGATATTCATCAACTAAATAATTCAAATACTAAAAATATGTCATTTTAAATATATAGATTAAGAGATTATTTTTATATATGTTTGGACGAATTTAAGATCAAATATTTGAACGAACAAATTACTTGATTTTACAATTTGTGATTGATGAAACCTTCATTAACTCCGTTCATGGATACACGGTCATTCGATTTTCTTTTAGTTTTATAATTAATCATATCTTGTAGGGACTAATATATCTCATTTTAAAATAATCTTTTTATCTTTTAAAATGTATTTTAAGGCACATGCGATTTTGTTAACCTCATAAAATCTAAAAGTTTCATCGGTAGTTATAGAGTTTTTTTTTAAATAAAAAATAAAATATTATAAGATAAATGAAACGAGATATGTCGGGAGACGATAAAAATAAATATTAGAACAAGCCTTGTAATATTAAGTGTGTAACACCTTCTTTTCAACTTAAAATCTATAGATTGAGAAGGAGATATTACATTAGGCTAACGAAGCAATATGGAAAAAAATTTAATCCAATTAAAAATAAATAAATATTTAAAGAATTACAAAGTAAACAGTTCAATAATCATGGCAAAGTAATTAAAAAACATTTTTTAAACACCTCATGTCAACTTTTCTTTTTTTTTTATTATTATTATTTTAAAGCTTTAATATTGATAAGAGAACAAGGGTATAATATTAATGTATGAGTACTAACACTAAATTATGATATCAATACTGATTGTGAAAACCTTGATATTGATATTAGAGCAAGAGCATTGATGTTAACGTGTGAGTACGATATTAAATTGTGATATCAACATTAATCCCAAAAACTTTAGTATTGATACCGAGCCAGGAGTATCAATACAAATCTAAATTATATAAATTATGCAGATTTTCAAGTTTTCATGCTTTCAAACAATATTAAACATGTGTAATTTCACCGCAACCTATTTAAGCAAGTTTAGTATACATATAATGGTAGATGTCAAGACAATATCTAGCATATTAAGTAATTTTCATTACAATGCACCTAAAAAATGCCTTTACTTCATTTACCAATTTTGCATTCAACGGCCATAGATAAATCTGAATATCAAAGAATTATTAGGCGCACGATAAGAGTTTTCTTTGGGTGCACGTTAGCAGGGCTAACGGAATTAATGGATCTCTGGTGCTTTTCTCCTTCTTTTTCGGTGCTTTTTCTTTTTCGCTAGTCTTTTTTGTATTCTTCTAGTCACCATGAGTGAAAACCCTATGGATTGGAGGAAGCTTTTCGGGTGTACAGTGGGTCAGGACCTAGAATATTTTCCCCCTAGGGTTCGTGATGGAATTACAACTGTTCAACCCCCTCCTGAGGTGCTCGAAGCTGGAATTAATGAATGGAAGCTCTCGCTTGTGGGACAATTCCTTAGTGCTGGCCCGAGCTTCGCTGCTATGCAATGACTTGTGGATAGCCTGTGGAAGAAAGCATTGGCGGGTGCGCGAGTCTAGGTAAGCTTAGCAGGGAACAATCTCTATGTTTTTTCCTTCTCCTCTGAATCTGCTCGGGACTAGGTATTAGAAAATGGCCCCTGTCATATCTTAAATAAACCATTGATTCTTAGGAAATGAGAACCGAACTTGAAAAGTTAAACTTCGATTTATCTAGATTACCAATTCGGGTCCATCTCTACAATGTTCCTCTAGATTTATTTTGTCGAACTGGTTTAAGCTGCATAGTGAATGCAATTGGAATTCCTCTTTCCATGAATACTGTTACTGCAGCTAAATCTTACCTTGAGTATGCCAAAATCTGTATCGAAATAGGTGTTAATGATGATATACCTAAATATGTTGAAGTGGTACTTAAGGATGGGGAAAAAGTTTCGATTGTGGTTGAGGTGCCCTGGATTCCATCACGATGTAGGAATTATAAAATCTTTGGCCATAACTATAAGGGTTGTATGGAATCTAAAAACCATGTTCCTTTCAAAACTCAAGTATGGAGGAAAAAGGAAGATCTTTATAAAGTTACAGAGGTAGAACCTTCTGTTGGAGGTATTGAATTACTGTAGGAAAAAGAAATTCCTATTTCTAATGATACGAAGAAAATTAGTAAAAATGTTGAAGAATTAGAAAATGGAAATAAAGAACCTGATGAGGAGAATAAAGATCATTCTGCTAAAGAGAATCTTCTATTACTATTCCTAAAAAGGGTAGACCAGCAAAAGAGAAAGTTAAAGCGGATCTAACTGGTTCAGCAAACAGGTTTGAAGTTCTTAGTGATGTTGAGAAAATCCCTTCTACTCCAGAGGGTCAACAAAGAAAATCACGCACAACTTCATTAGGAGTGGCTGCCATAGTTAAAGAACAAAAGTCGAAAAAGAAAGAAAAATTAGAGAAACCAAATAATGATGTAGTTGATGGTAAATGGGGTACAATGGACACTCCATCCTAATGATCTTTGTTTTTTTGAATATAAGAGGACTCAACTTTTCTCTAAAACAAGATAGAGTAATAAGAAGAGCTTTTCAAAACTAAGTGGGTGTTTTTTGTTTGTTAGAGATAAGAGTTAAAGCAGAGAAGTCATTTGTTATTCTTGGAAGTAAGTTTGATGGTTGGAATGCTTACACTAATTATGATTATGCCTTAAATGGTAGGATATGGATCCTTTGGAAGAAAGGTTTAGACTTCTCGGTTGTTCAAGTTTCTGATCAGTGTATGACAATTAAGGGGTTGTACCAAGGTGCTCCTCTTGTTATCAGTGTTGTTTATGGCAACAATGATGGTATTGTTAGAAGACTCATTTGGCAACAACTACGTGACTTGGAATCTACTGTGGGTCATTTCCCTTGGATCATTGGTGGTGACTTTAACATAATCTTGCATCCAAATGAGAGTTCTGACTATTATCTTCTTGGCCCTTTAATTTCTACTGATGTGAGAGACTTTCAAGAAGTTCTATTTGATCTTGACCTTTTAGACCACCCTTTCTTTGGTCCTTCTTTCACTTGGAGCAACAAGCAGCAGAATTCCTACCTTACTATGAAACTTGATAGTGTTAGTTAATCCATAATGGGTGAGCATTTTCTAGACTTCTCATGTTGAATTTCTTGCTCCTGGCGTCTCAGATCACTGTCTGGATCAAGTTTGGCTTTCTAAAGAAGTCCAAGCAAATCCCCCAAAGCCATTCAAGTTCTTTAATTTTTGGACTCAACATCCTAATTTCATGGAAATGGTTAAGCAGTCTTGGCTTATTCCTGCTCATGGGAACCCAATGCAGATTCTCTTCACCAAGTTAAAGCGATTGAAAGTTAGCCTAAAGAATCTTAACCAGTCTTGGTACATTGAAGTTTATGATAGGGTAAAGCAAAAGAAAAAAGAATTGGAGCAACATCAACTTAAAACTCTAAGAGGTGAGGATGTCATTGAAAATGAGTTGCACCTGCAAAATGAACTAAAAAATCTGGAAGAAGGTGAAGCTTTGTTCTTCAGACAAAAGACAAAAGGAAAAAGTGCAATGGCTGAAAGAGGGAGATAAATGCACTAAATTTTTCCATTCTGCTGTTGCTCTTAAAAACAAAAGAGACATTATTCGAATCCTTATTAATGAACAAGGTAACAGGCTTGAAACTTTTGATCTAATGTCAGCAGAGGTGATAAATGTTTTTCCCAACTTGATTGGTATTGTTGATCCTTCAGTTAAAACTATTGATCCTAACCTGTTGAAGGACCTAATCCAGTATTCCTTGCCTGCTGATAAGGCTTCTGATCTTGTGAAGAATATCATTAAGGATGAAATAAAGGAGGCTTTTTTCTGCCAAGGTAATGACAAATCACCTGGCTCTGATGGTTTTACGCCTTTCTTTTTCAAAAAATCTTGGTCTATCATTGAAAATAATGTTATTGATGCCATAACTCAATTCTTTCAAGAGTCTTTTCTACTCCCTGTTTTCAATGCTACTGTTATTTCTTTGGTTCCAAAGATCCCTAACCCAAGTAAAGTTAAGGACTTTAGGCCTATTTCTTGTTGCTCTGTGGTCTATAAAGCCATTTCAAAGATTCTGGTTAGAAGATTGACATGTCTCATGCCTGAATTGGTTACTCTTAATCAAAATGCTTTTGTTAAAGGTAAAAGTATTGTAGATAACACTCTACTAGCTC